AAAAATTCCTTTTTCGAGTTTTTGAGTACGGGCGATAGATTATAGAAAGGGAAGGTATTAGCACCCTTTCTATCCGTAGTTTTCTACGGACTCTTAGGTACTTGCTCATCATTTTAAAAATTGCTTCCGTGTTTGTGTGTTTTGAAAAGTATTTGTTTTACTTTGTTTTAACCCTTGCTTTTGTCTTCAAGAGTGTTACGAAGTGTTTTTGAAAATTTTGTTTGAAAAGAGTGTAAGTGAAAAAGTTTATTTTGAGCAAGTACCTAATAGTATCTACCTACTCGAAAAAAGATTATTTCTGTTCTTGTTTCCTTTAGACAATGCTATCCTACTATTGAGAAATAGGAAGCATCGTCGTTGGAGTTGTAAGGGTCAATTTGAAAGGGACGTACGATCACTAAAGCAATGTTAGGACGTCTTAGTAATAACCCTAATGTCTTAAGATCATATTCGAGGCAACATTTTCGAGGCGACGTTTCCGAGGCAACATTTCCGAATGGGACATTTGATCTTTGTTTAGACCAGAGGGTAACCACTAAAACACCCTATACTTAATAACCATTTACCGAAGGCAACCAAAGTGAGAGTATACCCTAAGAGCACGCATGTGCGAGTGATTTAATTTCAAGTTATTATCTTTGCACATTAGGGTTTGCTAGCCATTTTAAATTAACATACAGTCTTGTCATGCAATCCTATTATCATACATCTAACAGTTAATATTTGCGAGAATTAAAATGCGAGAAATAAAGACTACGCTATTACAAGGCTTCGGGGAGGGGATTAATTACATAGCCAAAAACCCGTAAAACGATAAATAAAAGGAAATCCTAATTAAACTATTACATACTGTAAGCAGTTACATTAATATTGCAAAAAAATAATAAATGCGCGCGATGAATCGAGAACGAGAAAAATTAGGGTTTTGACCCCGTCTAAACCTAATTGAAAGAAAAATCATATTTTTGTGGTTTTTGCGTTATTTTGAGAAAAATAGAGTTTAATTGAATAAATAAATAAAACCTAACGACTAATTAGTTTTATTTAAGAAAAATAATTAAATTAACTATTTTTGCATCTTTTGTTATTTTGTGAAAAGAAATAAAAATTAAATCAAGAACAAACCTAATTGTCTAATTTAATTTTAATTATTTACAAAAAGTTAGAATTAAACCTAAATTAAAACTAATATTAAATTGATTTTGATAAAATAAAATAAAACGTAAATTCTAAATTGGTGAAATTGATTTTGGTAAAAAAGAAATTAATTTTGTGGTTAGAAAATAATTAAACAAGATAAATTAAATAAAAGAAAAAAATAGAAAAGAAATAGAATGGGCCTGGTGTTAAATAGAAAAAGAGGGGGGTGTCAATTGCAATTCTGAGCCCAATAACTCTTGGCCCGTTTGACTTTCCTCAATCCCATGTGTTTGCTTGACTGATGCGTATGGTAGGCCCTCATGTGAGAAGCCTTAGCTCTGGCCTGCTGGAGATCTGGTGATTGAGGGCTGATGGCGCATGATGGTCTTGTTGGATGCTTGTACACCTGATCATGCAATGCAAAATAATACAAAGCAAAGTTGGGGACCTGGGGATCGAACCTAGGTCCTTTGGCATTTATTCATTGCACGCTTGCCAACTGGGCTGACTTTGTTAGTTGTATGAATCATAATAAACAAATATTATATGGAAAACACAAAATATCAATTATCCCACGCGCGAAAATTTGAATGGGCCATTCATGGGGCGCCACACCATCATCTTCTTCCTCCCTCCATTGCTAAAAGATCAGAAACTTTTACCTACGGACAAATGGGCATAGGTACAACCCTGTGTTTCTCTAGAATTTCATACAGGCATGATAAATGCAAAACGATGGTACCAATCAACTCGTGGCAACCTCACGAGCATCATGGTACCCTTATCCATGGCCAATTGTACCTGTACACAAAAACCCCAAAAACGAAGCAAGAGCCCTAACTATGGCATCTTGTTGTACAGTTAATGAAAATGCAATTAAGTATCACCATTAGCTTGCAAATGACTCATGGATTAAGAATATATCAATAAAACATGCTAACTATGCCAGAATCATGATATACGATTTCAAGAAAATGTGAAAATTGTGGGGTACTTACAGTGTAAATCTGGACGTTAGGAGGCTTGTTAATGATTGCAACACGTCCCTGGGATGTCCAACAAGCGTTTGGGATGCTTAGAACGCTTTGAATTGGTCTACAACTTAGAAATCAGTGTGCCACTTTTTTCCAAAATTTTGAAACTTGCTCTCTTGTTTTCACGCCTCCAATGTCCCTGCTTTTGGTCTGCTTTGCTTCCTTATGTACCCTAGAACAAATTAGGGTTGCAAACTTGAATCAAATCTTCTTCAATTAAGATCATTGATTCAAGATTTGATCCTTATGAAAATATTTCCAAATCAAGCCAAATCCAATCTTTTTGTGTCCAAATGAAGCTTGCACGATTTGATTCTCTTTCCAGCTGTGTAATAGGCCTAAACATGCACAAAATCTCAAGCTTTGATTAGTTTTGATATTTTCATGATTTTTATTTTGATTTTATTTGATTTAATTAAAATAAAAATCAAAATAAATGACAAAAATAAAAGAATGACAAATAGAAATGATCATGGGTCGTGGGTCATGTTACAAACTCAGTGCAAACATAAAAAGTTGGGCCCATTTGACAAAAATTGCAATTTTGGCTACATTTGACTTTTGGCAATTTTACAAAAAGGGTTAACTTTGCTAATGCATAACTTCTTCAATTTTGACCCTAGAGATGTGTTCTTTGACTTTTTAGAAATATTAAGATGTCCTATAAGCAATACTTTTGGTCTCATCTCAATTGAGTCTTCCATGTTCATGTATGAAGCTTTGACAAAAAATGTGTTTTTGTTGACTTTTCAAAATGACCTATAATGTCCAAATTTATATCTTCTTGTGAGTGCATATTTTGAACTTGGGAGATGAATATGGATTGTAGGGAATTTCATCCTCTTCCAAATGAGATTTGGATGGGTCATTGTTGATAAAGTATGAGAAAGTTATACTTGGTCAAAGTTGAGTTGACTTTTCCTGCAAAACCCTAATTTAGCAACTTTTGGGTTTTGATGAATTGTGAGCAATCCTTGAGGAATAATGATCAACCCTTGATAAAATGATGAACAAAACTTCAAAATGAGAATGTTGACCGAAAATCTTGAAGTTTGACTGTATGTGGGCCACAGTTGACTTTTGCCCTAGCATATTCGATTTTCAGGCCTTTAAGCAATTGACTGAGCAAACTTCCTTTGCAAGGCTTGAAACTTGACATGGATGATCTTGAGAACATATTAGGACAATGGTGAGCATTTGGGACTCTTTGGATCCAAACATCTTGATGCAAACTAAAACCCTAATTTGAGGTAGACTGCCTTAGGAGAGAGTTTGTCTGGTCAACCCTTGAACTTCCTTGAGCAATTTGAGGACCTCACTTGAAATGTATTGAGAAATATGGGAGGGAAAATTTTGGGGTACAACACTATCTCTTTAGTTTCTGTGATTTATATTTTTACTGCTTAATCTTTGCTTCTACCCCTTTCTTAAAATCAATCATTTCTAAAAAAAATTGAAAACTAAATATCACAATTCATCCCCTCTTTATTGTGTTTGAAATAACTTCTTCAACAAGTGGTATCACGAGGTAATATGATGACTTCAGCCACTTATTTTAATAAGAGTATTCCTTCTAACAAACACGTATCGTTTAATGGTGAAGGGTATATCATATAGAAAGCTAAAATGAAAATCTTTTTATAAGCTATTGATTTTGAATTGTAGGTTTATGTTTTATATGGTCATTTTGTTCTTGCTCATTTCATAAATAATAGTGGTAAACAAACTAAAGAGAATTATGGCCTCGTATGAAAAAGAGAAAGTGTAGAAAGGTTTTTAAGTTAAGTACTTGATGGGAATTGCATTAAGTTGTCATATCCATATTTTGTCATGGTATTTTACCTTCATATATTTTCTTGTGCCACTTTATTTTGAATAAGTAAAACGACACAATTGGCGAGAGAATGTTTAAGGAGTTACTAGTGCATGATTACTTGAGTTTGAATTCTAGATTTTGCATTTCTTCTTTTTATTTATTTTTTCTTTTATTTCCACTTTTATTTAAAAATCACAACAAAAAAAAACCGAAAATTGTATTTTTAAAATTATTTTTAATTAATTTTCGTATTTCTAAATTAGGCATTTTTAAAAATTTTATTTTTTCACTTTTGGTACTTTTTATTTAAAATATAAGCAAAAAAATCATAAAAAATAAAATTGTAAGTTTTTTATCTAACTTTTGCAACAAATCAATATTTTTGAATGATTTGATTTGATTCTTCCATTTTTTTTATTTGATACTTCCATTATGGGCCATTCACTATCCAATTCACATTCACGTATATAATCCACTCATGTACATAATTTTCTACCGTGTCAAAACCCTAATTCTTCTTTTATTTGTCAACACTTTTGACATCCAATTCCTAACACATTATATTGAATACATTTTTTTCTCTCACGTGCAATAACACTAACCTCCTCACCACTATAAGTCTCACTATTACAACACAGAACACCCGCACATACACAAAACTCACAGTGTTGTTTATAAACAATATTGAATCACTAAATTTTTTTTCCATCAAGCCAAATCGTAAGAGCTTCACTGAACCATCATCAACAACATATTTTTTCACTATAAAAAACCTCCAAACAACCATTAACAAAAACAATCTTCTTCCTCCATATCAAACCACTAATCTATAAAAATCAAAGCTAAGCTCGTAAACTAACTTGTAAACTGAATTGATTCATACTGACAAATATTTCATGATTATCTATACTTATGTAGAGTTTGTTTTTGCCGGGAAAAGGAAAAAACACAACACACCAATCTAACGCAACAACAATCGTGTCCAACACTGTCGATGCACAACTACGATGTCACCGACAAAATGAACTTGGAGTTGTTATCTTCTCTATCTCCAAAAAAACCTCTGACACCTCGAACCACCACACCTTCGAGCAAGCTAGCCAACGCACTCCTCGACTCCAACGTGCAGACCTCCAAGAAGCTCCAGCCTTCAACGGACACGGCCCCACATTGCAGATCACGACTACACTCCATCCATATGTGCGGGATCCACGCGCCATCATCCCATCACTGACAATGTCCTTACGCAGCCATCCAACGCACCCTGACGCCATCATCACCGTCGGTGTCCACACAAGATCTATCACGCCACCACCCTTTGTTGTTATCGTGATATAACCGATCAACCTCCAATCCAAGGTAAACACTTTTGTCTCTTTCATTTTTATGTTGTTATGTTTTGTATGAAGTCCTATTTTGAAGTATTAGAGGATTTTATAATTTTGAAATGGATTTTTGTTTTAAGAGAAAAAAAGGAAGGGAGATATGGGTTTAGTTTCATTCTGATGACATATGCGCTGAAGTCCTATATATATATTAAGCCATGTGTTGGTAAGATAGTGGCTGAGACGTTATTTTGAAAAGTCAAGAGAAAGAAGGAGGCGTTATTTATTTTTTTAATTCGTTATAGTTTAAAATAAGGGTTTGTTTAGATTTGTGACTTGGGACATTATGTTGTAATCTTTTTAACTCACACCTTTCCTTTATCTTTACACCCCCTTTTGATTTGTTTATTTCAATTATTTTAAGTAATTTAATTATTTTATTTTAGTTAATAAAAAATATAAAATATAAAAATATAAAGAAAAATGTATTTTTTTTTAGATTTAAGTTCTTTTGTAAATAATCACTAGTTTGTAAATAGTTCACTCGATGTACATAAATCACTAACCAATTAATTAAAAAAATCAAAAAGACAAAAACCTCAACTCACACCATTAAAATCTATCAACACATTAAATTATTTTTTTGCTTCGTGTAGAAATCATCTCTTTACGCCTCGTGCGTTAAATCAATTCCTTTTCGCCATCGTGCGATTTAATTCAAGACAACACTTTTATAAATTAAAACTAACCAATCAATAAAATTTAGTTGAACTACATAGGTCTCTGGTTTCATCTCTTGATGAATACATAGACATAAGATGTGATGCCTTAGCGAGTCCACTAACCCTAATCAAATTTCCCCCCTTGTATATATGAATGAAGAAATAAAGGCAAGAAACCATTAGAAAACCACATAAACCTTAAACTTATAGAAGGTTCCCCTTGAGTTTAAGGGAAGCGAGGGGTTCCTAAAACCTTCCCATTGCTTAACCGACTCTCGAACCCATTATCCTTCCATTTTAGGGTTTTTGTGTTATTTCCATGTCCTTAGGACGAATAAACGATAGTGGCGACTTCATTAATTTTCCCGGCCGCGATAGCTGACGCCTTTACTGGGGAATCCTAAGGAGAGTCATGACTAACCTCTAGCTTTAAAGTTGTGTGTTTTCATGTTTTATTTATTTCTTGCCTTTTATTTATTTTTCTTGCTTTTATTTTATTGTTTTATTATTTCATATTTTTATCATGATTGGGCTGATAATCATTTATGTGTGAAGCTAAAACCCAAGCTTAGAGAGAAAATGTAAGCTAATACGTAGACCCATTGTACTAACCGGTGAAATGTCACATCTCTCAGGGGTACAAGGGCTACACTCAGGGTAGGTCTGTGCAAAGTTGTCTTCATGGCAGGGCTTGCCCCTCAGTATGCTGACGATTTGGATTTGATCCATGTGTTATACCTCAATTTTTGCCTCTAAGATCCTCCATCATTTCATATCATCTCAATGTATCAAGATCACACATGTGGGTGGGTTATCTCTTCTACTCTCTCCTATTTTTTAAGTTTTCCCTTAAGGGATCACCAAGCACCTTGAATTGTGTATATTATGCAGAATGGAAAAACACAAGAAGGGGGTTTGAATTGGAATCTTAAAATTAAATGAAAAGAACACGTTGATTTTCATCCTGCTTCGTTTGAACTCAAACTACTCCAATCCACCCGTCAAGGTGATTTCGCCTCTCTCCAACGAGGTCTTAATCCACTAATCAATCTTGATTACAATTCTACTTTGACAACTGCCAAAGTCTTCTTGAGTATAACCACAACCCGGTTTTTCTAAAGGAAATGCACTAAACAATATAAGAATAAAATAGTGTACATTATTGTTTCTTACAAAACAGTATCACAAGATAGTGATGTTTTACACATTTGAAAATATTGAATGCATGAGGATCAGAGATGTTTGCAGCATTGTTGAGTATTGTGAAAATCGTAAAAAATTTATCCTCAAGTATTGTTTAAATAGGCGCAGTGTTGTAACCCAAAATTTGCCCTCTCATTTCTCAAGTAATCTCTCACAAGTTCTCGTTTGGTTCAAGACTACACAAGGGTTGATCAGCTCAAGACACCCTCTCAAGCACTGGTGACTGGAAATTAGGGTTTGAGTTTGCACAAGGACAAATGGAATTTTTATTCCCCACATGACTTTCATGGATCATATTGGACCCTCAATATTTCTCATGTCAAATTTCAAGTCTTGGATCACATTTTTGCTCAGTTAATTGATCAGTTGACCTAAAATCAGCTGTATTGGGGAAAAAGTCATTTGTGGTCAATTTACATTCAAACTTCATAATTTTTTATTCATATCAACATCATGAGTTCATATATGTAATTTGATCAATTTTGGATCACAATTTCTCAAGAAATTTGATCAGATCATCAAAAGGGCAAAATGGTCAAAATTAGGGTTTTGACTAAGAAGATGCAATTTCTGATTTTTGACCTAGAAAATGATTAATTGGTTTGAGACATGATCTCAAGGATTAAAATGCATCATTTTGATCTAATGTCATGGCTCAAAATATCTCTCAAGATCAATTGATTGACAGTTGAATTTTAGTCAACTGATGAAAAGTCAATTGTACACTAAAAAGTCACACTTTGACTTTTTGGTCAAAATCAAGTATCAAAGATCACAATTCATCAAAGCATGTCAAAATATGAAACTTTTTCATCAAGAAATCAAAAAGTCAAGATTTCATTTTGAAAAGTCAAAATTTCTAAACTTAGAAATTTTTCTAAGTGTTGGAAAATTCATAGTTTTTCATAACTTTGAGCCAAATTTCCACCATGATGAAAGATGGTTCAAAGGAAACTTCCAACATGAAAGTTGTATATATAAATGATATCTAAAACATTGTAGAACACAACTTCTCCTAGAAATGCATGGATTTCAAGTTATGATTATGTGAATACATGTTCATGAAACTTGGAAACTTAGTGAAATTTGCCCTAGTTTAGGCAAGATTTTGACCTAACTTCATGGAAGTTTTTCACATAGTTATATGATTAATTTTCAAAACTTTCCAACATAGATATTGTAAATGATGTTACAAGATTTCCAAAATGTCCAAGAACTCATTGAGATCATACTTGAGCAAGGAGAATCAAAGGTAAGAAGTTAGGGTTTCATTCTTGAATTACAAGTCATTTCTTGATGAACACATAATTGAATTTCAATGTTAGGCTGCATAATCTTGATTTGAAGGCCTTCTAACTTGTGTATCTATCCATAATTAATGTATTACACAAACTTTTGAGCTATAATCCAAGTGTTTTAAGCTTTATCCAATTCACATTGCCAATTTGGGAAGAAAGTGAAGAATGCCATTCTTGAAAAGCAAGCTTTATGCACAAAGTCAATTCTTGAGCCTCTAACTTGTTCCCTATGATCACACTCCATCTACAAAGTCAGAAGCAAGTTTGTTTAAAGCATAACCACTCTATCTTAGCAAGTACACAAGGCATTGAAACTTGGATTTCTAAAAAATCACATGTTATGCTTAAACTTGTGATTTTGAATTCTGATCAACAACAAGTCTCAAAACTTGTTTCTTATAAATAGAGGCACTATTACTGAGTTAGGACATGAGCATTAACACCCTGAAACACTCCCAAACTTCCTCAAATTAGAAATTACCCAAAAACTCCATTATTGCACAGTTTCTGACCTTGAACTCCAAACTCATATCTCCCTCGTGCGTTCTTTGGCCTTTAGTTCCTAAAGCTTCCTTACATCAAATTCAAACCATCCCACACCCTGTTACACGACTGTAACACCGTTTACCATAACCTCCATAACCAAAAGCAGAGCGTTGCAGTTGGACTTCTCCAGGCCATTTCAACCACTCTCAACTCAAGCTAAGCATTGCATTAGCTTCCTGGAGACTCAAGGAAGCTAACCTGGTTATTGCAGCACCTTGGATCAAGCTCAAACTCATTTCACGATTTCCAGTTTTGAGGTATTTTTCTTGAACTTCTATCTTATTATTTAGGCATTGTTAGGCTTGAATTTGTGAAGATAAAATGTAGACATCATTGCCCTGAAACTATACATGTCCATAGATTTCATTTATATTGCTTGAGTAATGAGAATTTTGAGTTTGAACTTGCTGAAATATTTAGGTCAGAATTTGATACTTTTAGAAATTTATGCTCATCTTTGAGAATTAGCTTAAGTTATTTACATATTCAGAATCGTGAGGAAATTTCTAATAAGTTTGATGTTGGAAGTTTTGTGAATAGATAAGAAATGAATGAGTTACAGGATTCATAGCTGGAGGTTGAAGACGAAGTTCATTCAGGACTTGATTTGTGTTATATGTTTATTATTTCACCAATATTAAGAGATGTATAGCCACCCAATGGTAAAGCGTGCGCCTGTTAACCTTTGAGACCTGAGTTCGAGCCCTAGTGGTACCCTTTTGTTCATTTTTCCAGCATTTTCACTCTTTTTGGTTCCAAACAGGCGCCTGGGCCTCCAAACAGTTGGGCTTTACTTTTTTTTGTTGCTAATTTCTGACTCCCTGCCTATGTTTACATCCCTTGCTCAACTTTTATTTATTTCATGTATTTATTTATTTTATTTTATTTTCATTTCATTTTTTTTTCATTATTTTTATTATTGTTATTATTACTATTAATTTTACTAATAAGAAATCCAAAAATATTTTGTTTATTATTTTTACACTTACTTAGTTTATTTTCTCTATAAATACAAAAAGACTAAAAACATTTTTCTTAACTAATTAATTTCTTTTTTTTAATTAATAAATATTTAGACTTAGGTTTATTTATTATATTATTTTCTTTAAAATTAAAATCAACTTAGAATTTAGGTTTCTTTTAATTAATTAATTTTCATTTTATTTTTTGATAATTTAAAACCTCTTAAAAAACCCTAAAAAATCATTTTAAACTTATTTTCTTTGTTAATTATTTTAGTTTTAACTTTTTGTTTAATTTTTAATTAATCATCTCTCTTAATTAGGCT